GACTCCTACTGGATGCAGCATACGTGTAACTGGGGAACAGAAGACTGCCCAGGTTGGACCAGTGATGCAGATGGTTGTACGGGCAGCTAACTGGGAAGCTTCATTTGCTCACTTTGGGCCTGTCACTGACCCACTGCCCAACCAAAGGAATTTTTGGGAACATAACATGGAAGAGGCGGCTTGTGTATGCCACTTTGGGCACCCTGGGTGATAAGCAGGATGCAGATTAAAAAACAGGCACTCTTTCTGCACTCAACTGGGGCATAGAATTAAAATATTGTAAGCATGTGCAAGGAAATGCACTCCCAAATTTACCCCGGCTGGGAATCCTGGTAAGCAATGTTCCTGAGCATGCCGAGGCTTGGAAACTCCCCCTCCTCCAAGATCTTAGCAAAGAAACATCTTTTTTCTCCCTTCTCCAAAATACTAGAATCCTGCGTCCTTCTGTGAGGCTGATGGATGGGAGACCGAGGACAGATAGAGGGAAATAATGTTTCACTTAGTGCAGAGTGAAACTACGGCATTCAGTCCCTCCTGGTCCCCTGCTCCCCATTTGGATGGTTTTCAAAGGAGAGAAGAAGGCTGTCCCATGACTCAGAGGCAGGATGCCTAAATATATACCAGCCCTGGGGAACATGGGCATTAAGATTCTGTTGCACTCATTCCCTGCTGGCAGTGGCTTGGTTCACTGCATGAACCAAAAGCAGGAATACATGGGTCCTGGGTTTGGTCCAGCCTTTTCTAATAGAAGTTACCTTCTAATATGGAGAGCGATATAATCTATATGTATTTAGCACTATGGATGGTTTGGGATTTCATTCCAAAACAAGATGCTTTAATTCTGTTCTGGTGGTTCCCCCCACCCGCACTTCTTTATTGGTTTTGGCACTGCATTTGTTGTTGTTGTTGTTAGTTGCGAAGTCGTGTCCGACCCATCGCGACCCCATGGACAACACTCCTCCAGGCCCTCCTGTCCTCCATCACCCCCCAGAGTCCACCCAAGCCCACGCCCACCGCCCCAGTGACTCCATCCAGCCACCTCATCCTCTGCCGTCCCCTCCTTCTTTTGCCATCCATCGTCCCCAGCATCAGGCTCTTCTCCAGGGAGTCCTTCCTTCTCATTAGGTGGCCAAAGGAGTTGAGCTTCATCTTCAGGATCTGGCCTTCTAAGGAGCAGTCGGGGTTGATCTCCTCTAGGACTGACCAGTTTGATCACCTTGCGGTCCAAGGGACTCGCAGGAGTCTCCGCCAGCACCACAATTCAAAGGCCTCAATCCTTTGGTGCTCAGCCTTCCTAAGAGGCTAATGCTGGAACAATTGATGGCAAAAGAAGAAGGGGACGGCAGAGGATGAGGTGGCTGGATGGAGTCACTGAAGCAGTCAGTGTGAGCTGAAGTGGACTCTGGGGGATGGTGGAGGACAGGAAGGCCTGGAGGAATGTTGTCCATGGGGTCGCGATGGGTCGGACACGACTTCGCAACTAACAACAACAACAAAACTGGGATAATGCCCTGAGCTCCTTGGAGAAAGGAGCTTTATATCTTGGGGTAGTATTCTGCACCCATCCTGACCACCCTGTCCCTGTTCTGGACAGTCATATCAATAGAATTGTGGGCCTGGATCCAAGCCCAGGTCTGTACTGTTGGCTACCAGAGAGGTGCTAGGAGCAGGGATGCTCATCAGTCTTGGTCTGGGAAGCCTCTTCTTGGCTGCGACCTTGCTTCCGTCACTGCAACTTTGTCGTGAGAGTTTATTTACCCGAAGCATTTTTATGCCACTCTGCAGCAAAAAGGGCTTGCAGAATAGCTTAGAAAAGTCGGTGGTAATACAGCTCCCACCTCTCACCGTATTGTGAAAAAAGCACAACATCAAAGTAAAATGAATCAGAGCAGAAGACTGGAACGGAAGGCAATCGCTGAAAAGGGAATGTCCCCTTTCCTCCAATATGCTTCTTGGAAGAAGCATTTTACACACAGTAAAATCGGTCGTAATTCTTGATCTTCTGGGTGGGGAGAAAAGAAACAACCTGGGTGCATGGACCTGCCTTTTAACTGATCTTTCAATTGAAGTTGTCAGGGTCCGAGCCACGGTTTCCCCCCCATAACTACCATGCCAGATATTCTACACCCAGCCAGTAGGAAACACCTCCTCTCGCTGTGCTTTTCCCTTCAGCTCTCCCTGCCTGTTATCTCTTAATTTAAACCTCATCATCGAGCTTGCTCAATCTCAGCACAGGCAGCAGCTGCCTTGCCTCATTAACTGAAAGCTCAGCCTAGATGTTACCTGGAAAGGCTACGCTGAACAATTCTATCCCGCTCGGTCTCCTGCCCTTAGTTCCTGTAGGTCTAATCTTTGATCCTACGGTTCTGTCCATCCAAAGCTCCTCGGCTTTTCTTCCACACATGCTCCCTAATGTCCACAGTCTCACACAACACCTTCATGGCGCCATGTTTTCTGTGCTTGAAAATCTTCCATGAAGCCTTTTGCCAAATTCCTCTGTTTGTTCATTCTACCTCGCTCGCTCTCGCCCCTAGCAAAGAGTAAGACCGAGCAATTCTTTCAGACCCTTGGAAATCTCTCCTTTCCTCTACTGGTTCTCCCACTCGGCCCTCTCAATGAAGCCTGCTCGAGGGTACTGACTCTTTTGTGATGCTTCCGAAATCCTAAAGCACCTTGACCAGTCAGCTGAATTTTCCCTGCAATGTCACGAAAATAATTGTTTCACTTAAGCGCCCCCTGCTGTATGCAAGCAGTGCACGAAAACGGAGATGGATGGAGCTAAAACCAAGCAAGCCAAGAACTCTATGTTGGAAAACCATTTTGAGATGCAAGACTGCCATTCTGTATCAATTTCCATGGGAGTTAAGTCCCACTGCATTGGATATGGCTGACTTTGGAGAAGACTGAATAGGGTTGTGATGTTAAATGCTTACATTATGCAGTTCAGCCATTATAATTTTTGTATCTCAACAAGCCCGGAATTTGTTCAGGAACAATGGGCAGAAGCAAGGACCTCGTGGCAGTTAGGAGCAAGGGGGTCCAGAGGGTATTTCATGAGCTGCATGCCATCCACCCGGAGTTAAAAGGAATTCTCCGTCCGCAGTCTGCAGAGCGTGGGAACTCTGGACAAACGCAAATAGCTTCCTGACCTTCGAGTCTCCACCCTGGCAAAGCAACACCCAAAGGTGTCTTCCAATGGGCCAGTCTTGGCAGGAAACCATTCCAGTCTTGACGCATCCTCACAATTGATGGAACTGGCTGAAGAAATTAACCAGCATTAAAAAAACTGGGAATCTCTGGAAGGCCCCTCTTCCCTCCCCATGTCAAACTCTTGATTCTCCTGTTTATATTAATTCTGAAACCAACCACTATTGCTGCTTTTGTGCTCTGAAGTTGCCCCTGAAACTGTGCTTGACTGGGAGACTGAAATGGCTCTGTGGGTGCCGGAACTGCCTGGGACTCGTCAGGCTTGCCACCCACGCTGTTGTTTTCCTTTTTATCCCTGTCCTCCTCTCCGAGGCAGAACCTGCTTTTCCAGATGGAATTCCTCCTGTGCACCACCTTGCAGCCTTCTGCTAGTTCCAGAGATTCGCAGCCTATGACGTACCCTCTGCTACATCCATTCCAGCTGGGCTGCTCATTCCTCCAAGACTCTGGGCCCTGCTGGCTTGGACCTATGGGGCAACTGTGACCCATAGTAAAGCAATGGGGCTGATGATTCAAGCTCTGCTGTTTGCATCCTGGTGGACAAGTTGGGAACCTAACGTATTGTGAAGAGTTTCCCAGGTGTCGAGGCAGACACGATCCAAAATTTTGGCCTATGGCACAGGCAATCACCAGGCACTCTTCTGGCTACAACAGACAAACCTGGCTCTTCACGAAATACTTATTTTTATATTTTGCCTGCCTTTACAGACACTGCAAGGCTGTGAACAAAATGACATACGGTGAATGTCAGAACATTAGCAGTGTCTAATAGGAATGTATCATCCTTGAAATAATTAGCATTGCTTTCTGCGGTTACGGTCAGAAATAACAGAACATGTGGCAAACCAGTTCTCGGCATTCCCTCGTCACCTGTGTGATATGGGTGGGTGGGAATATGAAATGGCACTTTTCATGCTTGTGACGTGTGTTGCCCAATGGGTGGACTTTTGCCCCGCTTTTAAAAGTCAGCTTTTTCATAAAACGGATGGCCCTGGTCCAGTCGGATGCTGAATTACATCCTTACATCTTCTGACTGGTTTTGTATCAATTCTGTTGCTAGCATTTGTTGAAACATATTTATATCTGTTTAAATGTTCTGCTGATTTCCTTGCAATCTCATGAAGTGTTGCTGGGAGGTCTTCAAGTGTCAATCCTCACGAAGAATGGCTTCTGATATTGGCATAAGTCATAGGGAAGGTATATTGGGGTATATTCTAAAATGCACATGGACAGTTCCTCCAAGAGGGCCAGCTGGAACTGTCTCAGCTCTTTGGAAGAGGCTTTCTCCTCTCAGTTGTGGTCATGCCAAGGTGCTTTTGTTTCAGAAAGCATTTACTAATTACTAATTTCAACGCTCTTGTTAAAATCTGCAGTGCAGTTCTTTTAGATCAGGGGTGGGCAACTTTGGCCTTCAAGATGTTGTTGGACTACAACTCCCATCAGCCCTGGATGCTGGCAGTCACAGTCCAACATCTAGAGGGCCACATGTTCTCCATTCCTGGTATAGGTGGTAACATGTGAACTAATGGTTATTTTAAATATTATTTCTGTCTATCTTGCAACTGGATGAGTTTTAATCTCTTCAAGCACAAAATCAGAGAACGAGCAATACATTCCATAAAGCACTGAAATCCTTATTAAACTCCATCGTGGTTGAATTAAAGCCTAAAACCCCCAATGTAAATATTTATTTTCAGTGCCCACGTGAAGGGAGAAGGAAGTTTGAACTGGACAGTTGCTTTCAATCACATTTCGACAGTGTCAACTAGCTTAGGAAATACACAACTATGAAATGCGGAAATCATATTTATTTTAAAAAAAGGTTATAGACATTGAAAAAAAATCTGCAAACAAGTGAAGCTACAATAAGAAATTTAAACAATGCAAAGGGGTTTTTCATGTGTGTTTTTACTCCAGTTTCTATATACAGATAGTAAAATTCCCAAAGTGGAACAACATGAAATGTGAAACACATTATATGAATATACCATATATACACATTCTCACAGAGAAGGCATCTTAATCTTCTATATAACGCAGATGTTAAGAGTTACTGAAATCAGATCACACTTCCATTAAACCAGGAACAGACCAATGTGTGACCCTCCAGATGTTTTTGGATACACATCAGCCCTAGGCAGCATAGCCAGTGGTGAAGGATGATAGAAGCTCCAGGCCAACATCTGGAGGTCCCCAAATTGCCCACCCCAGCATTACACCATTAAAATCCAAAGAGCTACAAAAACGTTTGAAGAACATGATGCGGTTCAAATTTATCTATTTCTCCTTTTGAGACAGTTCTGCAAATCTGGGAAGGAAACAAATCAAGTTTTTAAGAAAGCTAAAAGTCATCAGCAAAGATACCAGTTCCCATGATGACTTATTTTTACATCCCTGTTCCAAAAAGCTGGAAGGATTTTGAAACAATACCACAAGCCTTCACAAAGCAGAAGCAGTGGGATGTGAGTACACACCTAAAGCAGCAGTCCCTCTTCACAGCTGACCTCAAACCTCTACAGAAATTAGTATGATTCAACACCGTTAAAACAAATCTGCTAAAATGTTTTCAGTGAAAACTGTCTGAAAAGTGTTTGCCATAACTCGAGGAAGACCAGAATCTCAGGAAGCTGGAGTTCATGTCCTGGAAACGATTTAACGGGGAACGCTTCTACTTGCATAGATTTCTTTTCCCCAGCTTGAACAGGAAGAAGATGTTTTGTCTTTCTCTTATGGCAGACAAGGTGATGCTCCGTTATGTGTTGCTTCACGGGAGCCCAGCACCTCAGGCTACACTGAACGAACGTGTCCATCACCTCCCGCAACAGCCTGTGCCTTGCGTGGCCCCTGAGGAGAGAGGGGTGAGGCTCCTCGCCTGGCCTGCGTCTCTTCTGTCTCGGCTCCCTTCAGGCGGCACTCCTTCATTTTCCTGTCTGATTGAAGAAAGGAGAACCTTCATACGGAAGAGCTGTCACTCTCTGCCTGCCTGCATGTCAGCAGGCTGCTGGCTTCTGCTATGCTGCTTGCGAGGGCGGGAGGAATGGGGCTGGTGCAGGCCGCCTCCCACACGCGGATGGACTCCAGGATTCGAGGCGGATTGCTCGGGCTCAAGTCGCACAGCGCATACGCGGCCGCCAGCTGGACTCCCCAGGCCACATCTGAAAAGGGAGGAAAGAGAACCGTTGGCAAGGTCCGCGGCCCAAGGCCACCGGGACTATTCGAAATGCACACAGCCAGTCGGGCGCAACCTTCCGCGCCCGGGTCCTCGGGATCCTGCGCACCGGCGTTTCTGGGCCAAGCTCTCATTTCAGGGCACCCTAAGGCGGGGGCAGCCTGGCCCTCCGCTTCAGCCCGACGTCCAGGCCCTCTCCTGGGCAGCCCCTCAGCCAGGCCCTTTGGCACGTCGCCGTTCAACGAAGAGGATGGTTACCTTTCTCTTTGGAGTGCTGGAGAAACGTTCCAATGACCGAGCTGATATTCTCCACAGCGGGAAAGAACCCTTCCCTCAGCCCCATCTGGCCCAGGCGACCTGTGGAGTGTCAACAGAAAGAGCGGATTATGACCGTGTCTGGCTTGAGCTGGTGGCTCGGTTCCTGTGCTGCACCACGGCAGACGGTGGGTGGGCACCAGCACAGAGCGGAGCGTTAACTCTGTGTGAAAAAGAAAAACGCCTGCCATAAATGCAACTAGAGGCAGGGAGAAGCAGGCCAGAGCTCTTCCTGCCAACTTCTGGTTGTCCGAGTGCAGCGGGGTTTTTTGCAGGGGGGAGTTCAAAGAGGCTGGGCCGAGTCTTCCATCACAGCAAGTACAGCCCGGGTGCGAGTTTCCTGCTTCCACGAGTGCCTGCATGTCATCGGTGTCCTTGGTGAAAATCCAAACCTGTTTACCGAGGTTGCTCCCCTGTTAGGGACATGCTGAAAAGACCAGCTGCTTTTCCTTTACTTCCTCTGTTTAAGGCTGGGGAGCTTCACACGCAAAAGGAGCACCAGGAGGAAAATCCACCCCCACCCAGAGTTTCCTCCTTCCAGGCTAGACAAAGCTCTTCCTGACGCACCTGCTTCTCTCTCCCCCCCTTCCATTTTGCTCCATACAGTGGTGCTGGGGAAGAAAAGTGTGAGGAGAGGGGAGGGTACAAAAGGTGCGGACTTGGGCCGAAGGACTAACAGAAGAGGTCTGTTGCTCACCTGTTCTTCTCCCGGGGAAACTAAAAAGGGAAAGAGGCTCATTCCTCCATGAGAGGGAATGAGGAGCAGCTTGTTCATCTGGGGCCCTTCTACCCATTCACCCTTTCCACACACTCCTCTGCCCTCACTCCCTCTGATCTTAACAAGCAGCGAGCCATGAATCCAATGCTGCCTTGTACCTCAATGTCCTTCCACAAAAGGACAGCCTAGAATGGTCGGTGTGGGAGCAAATAAGCCATGGGTGAGGAATCAGAGATTCTCTCACGGCTCAAATGAAGCCTGAAGGCAGCTAACGACTGAATTAATTCTACTTTAGGCTTCTCCGGGGCCAAATATTGGAACTATATTGAATACAGCAATACCAATGCATTAAATAAACGTATAATAAAATATTAAAGCGCATGTGTGGTCGATCATTGCTCCAAAGTGCTCAAAGATGCCCAGGTCTCTCCCTTTGCAGCAACTCCCATGAGACAAATTGCTAGGTTGAGTTGGGTCAAGAGGCAACTGGGACAAAGCAGCAGCACGGGCTCAGCTGTGCAGCCCATCGACTCTATTCACTGTGCATCCACATGCAACTACCGAAAAAAATCTCCCAATAATTTCGCTTTCAAAACTACTCTTACGTTCGGCAGGTACCAGCGTTTTCAACACAGAGAGGGGAGAAATAGGAATTACGGGGTTGCTCAATCAGAGTGCTTCTGACATAAGCAGATGACTGGACAAGCCGGCTTGGGACCTTCCCCATCTTTCTCCTGGCAGGGGAAGCTGAGCTCCCTCTGGGCTTTGCAGGCCAGGAGTGTGTGAGGTGTGTGGGACAGAGGAGGGGGGTTGGGGGTAGACTCCCTGACTTCAGTACTGAAGGAAAAAGGACGGAACTCTGTCTGTGAGAGAGACACTAAAAACACAGTCTCAAGGGACAAACGGATTCCAGGACTTCCCGTTCAAAAGGTGTGTTCTGCCCTCTGATGCCAGGAACTATCCTGCCTTGCGGTCACAGCAGGAAAAACGAAAAGGGATGGCAGGGCAATCCCATCCCCAGCTGCATCTCGTGGAGGCCCTGATGACCGTTCTGGGGGGCAAGCGCCCCGTACTCCTTCCTGGTTCTCCACACCGGCAGCAGCGACGAAGAAGCTGCCTTCGTTGCCAATGAGCAACTCCTTCTGTCTGTGTGGACAAACTGGGAGAGACCCTCCCTGGGCCAAACAGCGGAGGCGTTCCCAGAGAGACTGCTTCCAGCCAGGAACCTTCCGCATGCTCACCAATCAGCCGGAGCACCGTGGCAACGATTATATCGGAAGGGTAAGATGCGCTTCCGGGGGCCTTCCTGTTCTTCATCCACTTATCCATGATAGGCCAGAGTTCTTTACTGGGGAAGAAAATAAGAACACGGGTGAGGCCCAGTGACAGGGCAGCCCGGCTTGCAAACAGGCTGTGCGATGAGGGTTGTTCAGGGAACGAGCCACGAGGCACCCGGCAGATGACTGGGGTTTACCTGGGTGGTTCTCCCCGTTTATTCTCCTCTGGTGCTCCAGCGGATACCCCAGGGATCCGTGTGGCAGAAACTGCCGTGCCTCCCCGTCCAATGACCTTGGGTTTTGCCTGGATTGCCCATTATCCGTCCCAGCACAAGCCTCTCACCACCAGTGACAGCTGCCCCAAGTGATGCCCAAGTGGCTCTTTCGAGAAACTGTCACCCGTTTGCTACCTTTCCAAAGATCGTTTAGGAAGCAAAAACATACACACACACACAAGTGAGAGTGCAATTTCTTTTTTTTTAATTTAAAGTTTGGTTTTTCACAGGTGCACACTTGCAGGTGCATGCAATGGGATGCCCTGGCTGTCCAATGTCCTGGCAGGGGGCCACTGTCAAAGGAACTGACGCCCATGAACACTGACCAAGCCACACTGCACGGAGGTGCCTCTGCAGGCGCACGGCCGCTATCAACTGGAAGGCACCTGCTACCCAAAGTGAGGTAGGAAGCACCAGTCCCCGGTTTGTAAGACAGTCCTGAGCATGCCTCCACCTTTCCCACACTTCTCCGAGTCTCTAGAAACTCTGGAAAGGTGAGTCCTACATTCCATCCCCTTTTCATGAGCACTGACTTTTGACGGATGTCAAAATAAAGGGTTCTTCAAACAACCTGCCAGACAAATTTGAACTGGGAAATATACGTGCTGTCACGACAGCTTTTTGTCCCCAAAGGAAACCTCCCTTGAAAAGTGGGCTGGGCTCACACAAAAAGACCATCTGCTGTTACACCCACACTAAGTGGCTGTACTGTGTGAAGCGGGCATGCTCTGCCAGCCCTACATCACTCTGCTCTTGAGAAATTAAAAGAGGCTGGGTGGGAAAATATTTTACTTTTAAATTATTTCGGAATTAAAATGGCTTGCTGGAATAGCTGCCCACCTATCTGAACAGAAGCTGCCTACCACGCTGAAGGAAGAATGACAGACCAAAGCTGCATCATCCATGTTCTGACATCAATATTTATGGCAGAGACCACTGGGAGCCCAGGTGCTTAGTCTTACTCCTGGCACCTGTGAACTTGGAACTGGCTGGCCAAGTTCCCTGATTTCAGGTAGCTCCTCCCTCAGCCACCAACCTCCATGACTCATCTCACTGGTTCTTTCTTTCATGGGACCAAGGTAAGAAGCCAAAGCCCTCTTCATCCCATTCCTCCCCTGCGTGAACACCCCTGCCCTGGCCTGGACCCCTGTCATTTTGGCCCTTGTGCAGCCTGTGACCAACCCAAAGCTTTGATCTGAACATAAATGCCCCCACCTAAGACATGCAGACACTGTAAGGGCGCGGTTCTGTTGTGCCATCGTATGATAGCACGGGTATTGATAATGCTGGGAAAGCAACACAGAAAAAGTATGAATGCTAAGGAAACTGGCAATACCTTATGATGTTGTCATGCGTCCAACACCATTTTTGATGTGTGCACAGCAGATCAATCGCAAACACGTATTCCCATGTGGCTTCTTTCAGGTCTTCCCCGCAGTGTTCGCTGTGCTGAAATTCCATTTGTGGACACAGCCGTATCGCCAAAAGAAGGCTGGAGATCATCACGCTAATCTCCGCTGGGGCGTTCTGGATGAAATTAAAATAAAGGACGCCAGTCTTGGTGAAACCGTATCTTCCGTGGCAAAAGAGTAAGGGCAGCTGAATTATACCATAGTTATTTTTCAAAGAGCTGCCAGCCATCAGCTGACAGTGGCCACATTTCTTTTCCGGGGTCAAATGCCACGATGGTAGCCCTAGGAGAATCTTCTATCCAAGCTAACTGTAAAGACCTTCCCAAAAATGAAACACATTTTCTGCTAAGGATGGAGGAAAGTACATTTGAATGAACATTATGGGATAGGGTTGTAGCCAAAACAGCCTGAGTTTAGCTCGAAACAGACACTGCAACAATCCATGCTCCACCAATGCTTTGCCTCTTTCTTGATGTTACTAGAGTGACAGGAGAAAACGCCACTGGGAAGTGACTGAGTTGTGGCAATGTAGGCATAAGGCATTCTACTGATCTGGTCTGCATGAAACCAATGGTGGGTTGCCATTAAATGTGAAGCCAGAACTACGGTTTACCTGTAGGCTGTTAAAAATGAACAAGCCATAAAGAGAAACCATGATTTATTGCTCAGTTATGGATTATGAACAAACCACGGGCTGTTACAGGCAAACACAGCATCATGGGTTATTCATGGCCTGTAAAATTGCAGTATTTTCAATACTGTGGAAAAGAGTCCCGCTGCAGGGGCTCCAGCAAATTCCACCTTTCCTCCTCCAGCAGGGACTTTATACCTGGTTAGCTGTACCTGTGCAGACTGATCTTAATCATGGCTAGCTCTAACATCTTTGGCCAAGGATAAGGGATCAGGACGAATGCTCCTCCGTAAACTCACAGTGGGAATAAAATTTATAGAAGCTGATGATGTGGTTTGCCGTGGTTCGCTGTTTGTTTGGCACCACCTGCACGGTTGCCTTCCGAATGCCAAATCTGTCTTTCAGAGCTAGAGAAGCAAGTCTTTCTTCACAAGTCACACCAAGTGCTCCTGAAAGCAGCATTTCCTTTACAGATAATCCAATGAATATGCCCAGTGATCCTGATTATGCCTCAGTCACACTGCAGGTGGCACTTGATTTCGTCCTTTTAAATACCTGCCTCATCAAAACTGGGCTTTGCCCGCATTTCCCATGTATGTACCTCCTCCCAGTTCAGGTAAGTTCTCAGGCATTTCAGTACTTCTCCTCTTGCACGCTGTCTGGCTACCAATTGGACTGCTTTGTTCACCACGCTTTCAGAGCAGAATATCTCACTCCACATGTTCCCAATAAACACGGTTAGCTTGTCGAATCTGGGGAAGTCTGAAAAGGAAATATTAAAATAATGACAAAGTGTAAGCCTGCAATGCAAAACGGAGAACTCTTCAGGACTGGAGAATCGATGCACACCTGCACACAGAGGAGAATGTTAGAAGCGCCCCGGGGGACACGGCAGTGTTGGTGGTCAGGGACCCAAGAAGGTCAGCCTTCTCCCCATCCGAAGAGCTTTCTGGTGGCTGTTTCCATCTGATACTCATGTATCAGAACTCCTGAAGGTCAGCAAGTATGCTCAGACCGTTAACCAGTACTTCACCCTACCTACAACCATCTCTTGCATTCTCTCAAAAACAGGACATTAGGACTGGAAATATATTAAAAACACATCTTTTTCCTGAAGCAGCTGCAACGCTGTTTCTCAGGATTTAGGGCAGGTGGCAAAATGGTGGCAACTGATTTCTGAAACAAAGCAAACTGGAGATTAGTCAACCATTCTGCTATTTTGACTGGTCTTTGGCACTATGACAAAGAAATGCCAGCTGAATTTAAAACAGTACTCTCAGTTGCATTATGCTGAGGGAAATGGAAGTATAAGATGCACGGTACAAATTAGAAATGCAAATTGGGCATTAAAAACATTTCAGCGTTTTGAAATGTCTTAATATTAGGGTAAACAGGAAGGGCAACTAGTAGGATGCAAGTTTAAAATGTGATGCTCTTAAAATATGAAACTGAAGCTGAGCAAAGAAATTACATGGGCGCAGGAGGCTGGGAAGAATATTCTTAGTGAGAGAAAGGAAAGGTCATGGAGTGAGAACCATATGTTTTGATTAAATATGTCAAACAGGGAAAAATCTGTACAAAGAAATAACAAGATGATATTCAACTCCAGTTATTACAAATTACATGAAAAATAATTACTCAATTAAGTGCTGGAAATGTCAGAAACAAACGTGACATTTCGCCCATCTATGGAGGGAATGCTGATGGCAAAAATTGTGAGCTTAATTGAAACAAGATAGAACTATTGTAACGCTGCAGAACTAGAAGAGGGGAATACGGGTTTGGTCCCTGATCTCATTTAGTTCCCAGCAGGTGTGCCAGCTGGATACTCTACCCAGCATATCCAAAAGGCGCTTCAGTGTGCACAAGCTTTCTCCCCACTGGTGGCAGCACATACCAAATCCACTCCTCCACACCGGTTCCTCCTCCTCCTGGGAGCAGGTGAAGCTGCCGAGCCCCTTTTTCTGATGCTTGCAGAAATTTCTGCAAGGGCTCCCACTGCTTCCCCAGCCCCTGGGGAGGGACTCCAGGGGGCACCATGCGGCTCGCTGCAGGGAGAACCCTCCTGTTACTGTTAACCACAGAACCGAAATAACGCAAGGGACCCTCTCCCTGCCCGCCTGGCCTTCCTTCCTTGGCGTTGTTGTCAAATGTTTTAGGTTACTGTTTTGCTCAGCATTTCAGAGGTTTTTTTAAAGGGAATTCTAGAATTCCGTGGAAACGGGGGCTTTGCCTTAAAAATCAGTATATGAAGCATATTGCTAAGCCATAGTAAAATGAATCAGTTTGTTAGAAAAGCAGCATCAGTTCTTGCCATGAAGACAGGCCTCAAATATGTATTAAGTGCTGTGAATGAATGCCATATCATACGTAGGCCCAAGTTCACACAATTATCTTCCATTCAAAGAAAAAAACAGACAGACAGAAGAGAAGGCAGGAAATAACACAGAACAAGACTGGGGTCCGAACAGCTATTTATGCAGGATGGCGTGGGGGCCGTCACAGAGAGGAACAGCCCTGCAATGCTGCTCTTAAGTTTGTAAAGCAAGACTGTGAATTCTTTAATAGAGGGTTCTGCCAGAATGCCATTTGTATGATGCTTTAATTTATAAAAATAACACATTGCGCATACTATACCTTCCTTAAGGAGAGTGTAGCAAAACAGGCGTGCTTTTTCTAGGTCTCCAAGCTGCCGGCAAATTCCAACATACACCCTGCAGAGGGACTGAATGCAATTATGGGCCAAGGACCTCCTCTGTCTCTTCAGCTTATCCAGAATAGCCTGCAGGGCTGGTTCAGCCAGGTGCTGCATCATGCAAAACAGTATTTGAGGTTGAAGACACTTCCACGTGCAAAGCAGGCCTTAGCATGAGACAATCGTATCTGTCATGGCACTGAAATGGTTATTATCTCTGGGGCAAGTGATTTATAAGATACAGGCAAGTACGTAAGGGCAAATCTGTCTGAACAGGTATTGGGGCAGAAGTGTGTTAAAAGTGCAAGTCAGCTTTTTAAAAAGTGTACTTGAGATGCTATGTGCAGCCGAATCCATTGACCAGAAAGGTCTTGCACAGATGCCAACTGGCTTAACGGGTTGACTGCACCTTCACTGTCCCCATCAACCCCCAAAACTTTCCCTATTCTTCTAATGCAGGGGGGGACAACTTGTCGCCCTCCACGTATTTTGGCTTACACTTCCCATCCTCTCTCCTCTAGAGGTATTACAAGGCTATGCAACATTCCAGAAAGGTCTCTGTTTTGTGCTTTTGTGCGTCAGCCAAAACAAACTTAGTGGTAACTTTATTTTTTTAAAGTGCAACTGACCTTCTTTGTGACACCGAATTCATGGACAACTTCTTTTTCTTCATCTCTCATTACTGGGACCCCGGAGGTATTTCCCACAAGAATGTGGCTACGGATAACAGGCAGCAGGTCAAAACAGGCTTCAGAAACTTTTTCCAGTGCTACAGCCACAGACCTACTATCAGGATCACCTTCATTATCCACTGCCAAAAGCAATTCTGAAGCACAGTCACCTGTTGGCTGAGTAACACCCCCGTTGTTCGGATCGACAGTTTCAACAGCAGGGAAACACACATGAGGATCTGAGACGCCAGCGGAAAGCTCTTCCTTGCAGGGGTCTGATTTTGGTGCCCTGCCGTCTGGCCTTGGTCTTTTGGTGCTCTTTGGCTGGACCACGGGAGCCAACTTCCTTTTCCCAGTCTCGCTCACAACGGAGAATGGCTGCTCAGGGTCGGAGCTGAATTTCATCCCCGTTTTAACGAACGCAGTGGATGAGGACGTGATGGCTTTAAAGCCACTGATTTGGTGGACAGGCTTGGGGATGCTCTTGCCATCTAGAGAAGAGGACCGACCGAGCTGAATGTTACCTTTCAGGATGTTGAGAGTTCTTGCTCGGGCGGATAGCTCCGGATACATACTGTCCAAAATTTTCACAGAGTTTTCCTGAGGTAGAGGTGGAGCAGCAGCACCACCTGCAGATGGAGGAAGTCTTCCTGGTACAGGAAGGGCATGCTTGGGAGTGGCGGCACAAAACTGAAGAGGGGAAGAGAGAATTCTCTGGCCTACTGATGTTTCAAAGGGAGGAGGCGTAGCAGATGGGGCAGGTGACGTGCATTTAGGGGTTTCTGACAACGGTGACGTGTGAGGAGGAAGTGGAGCTTCACAAAGAGGAGAAATTGGTTCATCGAGGGAGGGTGGCAAAGATGTCTGGCTAGAGGTGGGCATTACCGGGGAAATGGGCCGAACAGTTCTCGGTGGTGTGGCTATCAAGGGGGTGAGCAAGGGAGGTAACGGGGGACCCATCTCTTGCCTAATTCGTTTTAGAATTTTTGGATAATGCTTTGTTGGGGTGGAAGCATCCGCACTGGCTAAAATGATTTCAGTCAGGAGGGTGTGCCGACTCTTCCTTTCCCCTTTATGGCAAGGCATTCTTGGGAGAAGCCTCTTATGACCACCTTTCACACCGACTTGTGCTGAAATGTTTATAGGGTCTGGTGGTTTGAGATCCTGGTCTGCCCCATTCTCCGCACAAAGTGAAACAACAACGGGCGATTTCAGTTCCTCAGATGTGTTTTGTTCTTTACAGCCCGAGTTTGAATTTTCCAAGACACACGGCACGGAAATACAGCTGACTTCAGCAGCAAGACTTTGCCCGTCAGTCTTTACGTGGCACTCCTCGTTATGCCCTGCATCACTGCCAGTGTCAACATGGCATGGTGTTAAATGGCTTTGTTCTGAGTTTGCGCTGTCCCCGGAAACAGTGTTACTTTTTTCTTGCTCAGCACTCAGTTCCCCTTTACTGACATCTGACCAACCCCCTAAAAATTCTACACCAGTACGAAAGCACCTTGTGTCTGGTGCAACACTGTCACCATTTCCATGGGGGCTACTGGGAGACGACTGCCCAGACGGGGGCTGCACTGGCACCATCCCTGGTGATGAAGCAACGGCTGGCATACTTTGCTCTGCCTGCCTCTCTTCCGGCATCCCCACTGCTATGGAGACTTCGGACTGGAGTGACGTATTCTCAGTACCACGTGCCCATCCTGTTGCACAGGAACGTTCCCCTGCCTTTTCAACGATTCCACCAGTGCGGGAGTCATTGTCCTGCATCGCAGCCTGCCTGCCTTCTGAAGATGCACCTTCTGCGCCAGGGGGCAACTCATGCCCATCAACACATGCAAGAGCCATACCGGATGCTGCACCTGCACAAGAACTTCTGCTCGTAGCCAAGTCATCGTTCGGCACGGCAAGGCATGGCTGCAGTTCGGCGCAATTCACCTTTTGTATCAGGCACATTTCTTCTTTTGCTGAATCGGAGACGGACAAATTCGTACCTGTTACTGCGCTTTCTGGTATCTTCATTTCATCTCCTCCTTCAGATCTTGAACCGCTGCTCGTTATTTCATCTGTTCCTTTAATTATAGCTTCAGCAGCACAGCTTTCTGAAGGACTGCTTAACTGATGATCGGGGGGAATAGGAGGCTCCTTATCATCAAGTATGCATTTGTCTGCTGTGCAAAAGTCTACTGTGTTAACACTGTATCGAGTAAACGTCTCAAGAGTTAGTGCTTCAGAGCTATCGCCACTACAAGAGCCTTCAACCTGAACTGGTACTTCGGTTTTGCTAAAAACGGCTGGTTCTCCGGCTTGTTCGATTTCCACTTCATTTTTGCTGTCAGGACTGCGACAATCCAGGGACTGAAGGCTGCCTTGCTCAGCGCTGCTTCTCTTTGGAGATGAAGGGGCAATACATACTGGGGCAGAAAACAGACCTTTTGCAGCAGTGTCAGAGCAGTGGCTATCACTGCTGCAAACTTCAAAATCAACTCCCGGTTTGGAAGCGGGGACATCCACAGACGCTATGGAGGGTTTGGACCCAATGCTCCTTGGTTCTGTGTTGTGTGTGCTCATGCTCTGAGCCAGACCTTCACTCATGTTCAGTTCTGATGCCATTTCATTTGCTACGGAGCACTCATAATTTGCTTCTTCGGCAACAGACTCTCCGAGATCAGAGGACCTGCTCTTGTCATTCCACTCTGCCATTTCTTGAGCTGTGCCATTTATTCCACACTGCGTATTTCCAGTGATCAAACTAGACTCGGCGTTTCTGTTACAAACAGTTCCAGAAGGGGGTGCCTTTTCACTTTTTCCTGTGATAAGAAGTTGCACAGACCTAGTTTCTGCAATTTTCAGTTGTTTACTGTCTTCTTCAAGCCCTTCTGCTCTCAGACTCTGATCATCTTTAGAAGCCTCAGCGAATGGAAAGCTGCCTGACATGCTATGGAGTTGGGACTTGCATTCAGATTCAGCACCCACCGCTGCAACATGCCCTGGGTCTGAAGCATGTCCGGTGTCATCCGTGGATCCAGGGATTGCATTGTTTGTTTCAACAGGTCTCTCAGAGAGCAACAAACACTCTTTTATCACAGAGACCTGAGCCGGTAATACGGGTTCCTCTTGCAGCAACTGAATAGAATCCTTCTGGTCAATGAATTGCTCTATTTGTAGGCAGTCTTTCTTACTAATGTCCCCTGAGGTGGGCTCATCCATCATGCTGCAATCCATTTTTGGTTGGTCGTCATCTCCATTTTTCACATATCTAACAGGGGCAGTGCTGCATTCATTCTTGCCCTCAATTATCTCTTCTACATGACACAATGATTTCTTGCCTTCATTAGTTGCCACTGTAATATGCAAATGTGGATCTACATTCAGTGGCTCATTCTCAGCATTCATCTCAGCTTCCTGTTGTTTGCTGCACTTCTCTTCGCTGCGGTCCTTTTCTTCTACACGTGGTCTTTCGACAGAGGCATCTGGAGCCGGAATAACCATTTCAATGGGTTGCGCAAACGTGACTTCAGAACCCTGCTGCAGGACTTGCTCATTTGGATGTTCTGTCTGAGAAAAGAATTTATCGTTGTCGACATTCATTTTTTCTTCCACCGATGGTTTATTGTTTCTGCCTGTGCAAAGTCCTTCACTTGATGCATGGTCCCCATGCTCTTCATCAAGAGGTCTTGGTCTTCCTAGATCAGGTGGTGTCTGGATGTCTGCAGTGGCATCTTTCACCACTCCTCCTCTTTCTATCACATCACTCGATCCATCAAAACATTTTTCAGGGGCTACCAGCACATTTTCAGTGGCTAATACAAACTCTTCTGAATGTTGCCTACTGCTGCCATTGGGAGTCTGAAGCCAATCTTCTGTTGTTCCAGTTAGCTCTTCTTGATCCTCTTCTTTCAAGCCGTCATTAGCTTCCTCCAGCACTTGCAGAACATCGTTTGAAACAATTTTCTGCATATGCACTGGCTCTGTTGGTTTTTCTTGATCCTGTACAGCAATGCTCATTAAATGAGGCGTCAAGAGTCCATCTTTTGCTTCTGTCATAACAAAATGCTCTGCACCGCATGCTATTTCAGCAGTTGGGGGTGCTTCCATGCAGTCTGAATTTTCTTCTAGATGTCTCTCTTCAACCTCTGATGTGGCATCTCCTTCATCATGGCATCTTGATTTGGGTGTCCCAGAGTCAGGACGTAGAACTGACTCTCCATTGCTTAATTGTCCTAGTTTTTCAGGTGACTCCTGAGAATCACTATTTGTGCCATCAACGCTAAAGAGCCTGCATTTGTTCAAAGATTCTGCTGAATGTGTTTCATGAAGAGTTTCAACTGCTGGTCCATCACGACCACATTCTTCTATAATATTTTCAAGCATTTGTGCATTCCGGTCTGTTTCATCATCGCTGGAATCTGTTAAGTCTCCAAATAACATATCCTTCAAAAAGATAAACAAGAACAGATGATTTGGTTATCACAATTACACAAATGCTACACAGGCAATCTTATTATATTGCTCATTACCTAATTCCTAATAAGACTCCTGAACAGATAAACACTATATGTATGACTTGCTTGAGTTCCCAGTAAGATAATAAAGCAGCATCTGGCCTGCAGATTGCAGGTCTGAGTTGACATTATGGCATGTTCCTCTACATGAAATAAACAAAACAAACCCGAAAACATTAAAAGGCTAGCAAAACACAGGAAAAGTTCTGAGAACTCTCTCAATACTCCACAATTTGTTTAGGCAGTTTTAGTAGTTCAGTGCAAACTAATAAACTAAAACCAAGAATGATAAAGTAAGACCATGATAAATTAAAAGTAATTTAGTATGCTTCAAAAGGCCTTTCTAAAACTAATCAGTAGAGCAAATATAACTGTAACAAATGTGACAATGCAGACACCAGAACCAAGAAAACTCCTGCTTTGCACCTTGGCAGTTCTTTACTTCAATAAGTGAAGACAAAAACCAATTTCCTTAGTTAAAAGAAGTTTCTTGCCTCACAAGAGAAGCTGCCTCCATATTCATCTTTTTATGAACAATATCCTACTACATGCATTATCAAAAAGTTTAAGAGGAGCTAACAACTACATCCAATTGAAAATAAAAGCACAAGTTACAAATCTATAATTGTAGCAGGTTTCCATAAATTACATCATGCATTTTATTCTACTTTCCTCAAATGCTCACTGGAACAATACGAACCTTCCTAAAAGCAGAGACTGAAACTCTGCCAAATCTTTTAAAGGAAGGAATAAGGGTGCCATCACTGAAAAAGCTCTCCTGATCAGCCACCCTAACATCACAGCAGTATGTTACTTGGGGAAGTCCTCCAGTGATAATCTAAGTGCCCAGAGGAGGTTCGTTGAAGCGGTTATTTAAGATTTAAAGGATTTTAAAGGCAGTAAGCCAAGTTCTCTCAGTGGATAAGCATGATTCTTTCATGCCACCTTCAGCTACCATCAAACCACAGCCTTTGCGATCATGCTGCAAAGTTCTGACACCACCTGAGCTCATGATATAGCTATGCTACTTTGCCTGGCTCATTTTTGGAACTTACTGGAGTCGCGGCTGGGGAAAACTGTATGGGAGACAGCAGCGGAGGAAGAGGCCGACCCCACTTCAAAACATCTCGCAGGTTTTCACCAAGCTCTTCCTGTTCCTTGCTGAACAGGGCCATGTCACACGCTGCCACATCCGTCTGCGCGATAACTTCTACAGATCCACCTTCGCTGTCACTGTCGAACACGTCGGTCATGTCCATGGCTTGGCCTCCTACTGGACCATCATAGCTGGCAGTCCTGCTGTCCAAAGTTATCTGCAATGACGCCAACGAGGTTTGTGCTGCGCAGGTTTCGGGTGAAGAGCTGCTGGGTGGCTTCTCTCTTCGACGTTTCTTGAACTTTTGAGGATTCTGCACTGCTTCTATGAGAGAGAAGATGATCTGTGGTTTAAACACAGTTTCTATATTTGTCTGTATTTTTCTCACAATCTGAAGGTTTAAGGTAACAAGAGCTCTATGCTTTTCAGAAGTATTTATGCTAACTGTTTGGTCCTGTTGACCTTGGTCTGGTCAGTAGATAAATTATAATGTTTGCCTGACATACAAGGACTCGACTCAGTTCAAACCGCATGGAGTTCTTTATTGTGACTGCTCAGTGTGGGGACTAGTGGAGGCAGGCAGAAGATTCAGCTGGGTGGAAGCTGAACGGAGCCAACTGAGGAGGAAAAAAACAGCTGCCAGAACGCTTGCATCCCTTATCTTGCCTGAGTGAAGCCTGGAGGATGTGTGCTCCGTCACTGCATGCAAGCGCAGGACTCTCCGTCTACCTAAATCCACCTCAAATGATTTTCAGGCCACGTTTAAGGGTGAGACCTCCTCATGATTAGAATCCTTGCTGCCAAAGCAAGTTTCAATTCTACCATGCTCTTGGCACAACCAACCAATGGGATGCCCCACTGTGCAGAGGGGAGCAGACTCGGTTCTTGCCAGCCGACGTTACCAGTGGGAGAAAACGGCCCTTGTGCCCACATGGATGGCGTCTCTGCCTGCAATTCTTTACCTTGCCCCACTTGAAGGGACAGCTGCCATTTATGGCTGTGAGGGAGAACCAAGCCATGCACTTCATGCGGGATCCTGCGGTGAGAGCAACAGCCGTGATCCGCCCAGGACTCCACGTGGTCTGTGCCTCACAGGGAGGGACCCCACAAAAGCTGAGCGGGGGCACACAGGCATACCTTCCCTCTTCACGCCCAGGGAAGTGAAGGGGAACGGTTGTTCCAGCTCTCTGCGGGTTAGGCAGGAACAAGCAACGACCCAGGTAAGTTGCCACCACCCCTTAAGTCCACCTCCATCTGAGCCAGAGAACTCCTAGACCTTTACAGGGCTGTAAGAAAAGACCCCAAGCCCTCTGATTTGAAGGTCTAGGGAGGCCTGAGACTTTAGAGAGTAATGCTGAACATGACACACGGTTATTGCTTAGTTGCAAGGTTGTGCCCGACCCACTGTGACCCCATGGACAACCTTCCTCCAGGCTCTCCTGTCCTCCACCGTCCCCCGGAGTCCACCCACGCCCACATCCACTGCCCCAGTGACCCCATCCTGCCACCTCATCCTCTGCTGCCCCCTTCTCCTTTTGACATGAAGTAGAAAGCTCTAAGTTGAGAACCAAGGCTTATTTGGAAGAGGGGACACACTGTACCTGAAGTAGGTGTTACATTTATTTAGAGCAGGGAAAGGAACAAAGGCATTCAAAAGCTGAAGTAACCTTTGGAAGCGCTTGAGGCAAAAACAACAGAAGACAATCATTCTACCTTGTAAATATTGGTCTTCCAGTGGGATGGGGCCAATCTAGGAGCCAAGACTCCTAAGCTGAAAAGAAAGCTGAAGCGTGGAGGCAAAACCAAAGACCGAGACCAGTGTCAGCTTCCCTTGCTTTATATACACAACGTTTGACAAGTAGGAGGTGAGCCTCCTTATCCAATCCTAGATTGGCTGAGTAATATTTTTCACAGGTCGACCTACTTAGCCAGTTCTTAACTGGCTGAATAATATATTCAAGCTTTTTGGAGAAGGGAGGGAGATGGAAAGTTCTCATAGGAGCACTGTGGAAATCTTTTAAGTCTAGTTCGGCAAAAGTTGGACTCTGGCTTGGAAGTCCTGGAGACAGAAGAACAGCAGGTAACGTGCACAGGGCGTTTAAAGGGTGTGCATTCCCCTCCACATGAAGCAGAGGTTCTTTGGACAGCTAAACAGCCATAAGAAAGGACTTCTTGACAGCCCTGTTAGAAAATGGGCACCTTAGAAATGAATACATAAAAGCACAATTCTGATGCATACAAAGTGAGGACTCTACCTGCTGCTGTTTTCCGAGAAGGGTTCCAGGCAGGTTTTATGACCCAACTTTCATGGAACCAAAGGGTGCTTAACGGCCTTGCAGCCCAGTCCAGGGGTCTATTCAACCTCGCGATCTTCCCTGACCCAGTGTTTCATTTCCAAGGAGTAGAAGAACCCTCTATACAAAGTATTGCACAGTCCCCCAAGCTGATGGCGATTTCCTCCAGAGGGGTAGAAGGGAGGGGGCTGTGTTGGTCAAAGACCCACTTGGCAATCCTTCCCCGGAGAGAACAAGCCCAGGGTGCACGATTCCTGGTGAAGTCTCAAAGAGGCGGAGGAGCCTCCTCAGGGGGAACCTTGGATGCCCTGCGGAGCCCCAGCACCCTTCTTGCAATTCGTGCACACAGAACAGTATTATCACACTTTAATGTACAGATTTGAAGTACTTGCTACAATATCATTCTAACGAACTTGATTTTCCATGTGTCCTTGAATGACTACGATCATCAACAGCTGCATGTGTTAAGGGGAGAGGACGCTATTTGCTCTTACTAAAACAGCAGCAGATCTTTTAAAAAGGAAGGCTTTTCACTAGGCCTGGATCTGTAATTTTGGGTCTTACCTAAGATGTAGTCATTTTTGTTCCTCTGATGTTTCCCCGTGGAGCCATCAATACACGTCCACAGCTCATCCAGCAGCAGCTTAATTTTTTCTATAAAATAATCAAAGGGGTATCCAAATTGTTCTGGCATTTCCACCTGCCTTAAGTAGATCACTCATGTAGTTCCAGACTTTGATCAACAGAAAATCAAAGTCGCACGTTGGTAATTTTTTCCCTCAAACAGAGAGTATGACGCATATGCCCAAAATGTTACAGAATGTCACCACCAACTCGAGATCAGATGTTTTGCACATCCACCAAGACACCTCCATACTGAAAAAGTCTAAACTTGGGTCTTGAACAACAATATGTAAGCAAAGAGGAAACAAAACCACGTATGAATTGTTAGGTTGTGGGAGTTCTTTTCTTGTAAATTGCCCTGAAAGGCAGCATAAAAATACCATGCAAGAAACAAATTATAATACTGTTCTTTTAATCAGCCTTGAATTGCTGGGGGTGGGAGAGATTTTTATAGTTCCCAGAAAGATGAAGCCATGCTTGCAAAATGCCCACATACCAAGACAATAAAGTCGACATATTTTTTAAAAACACACTTCTGCAAAGGAGTACCACGGCAAGATTTCAAGCAATGGAAATGAACCAGAATAGGTATTAGAAGTAACATTTCCCACACAAAATGCAAGGAGAATGCCTCTGCGAAAATTCAACAGAAGTTTTGACTTAGGAGTAACAAACACGCTCCTTCTACTTTGCAACTCTCCAGAGCCTTGTGCCTCCCTGGAGGACTCAGCTCTGTTGGCATGATAAACAATATCAAGAAGGCCAACCATGTCAATTTAAATTGCATCATTTCCTTCTTGCCTCTGCTTGCTTCTGTGTTAATTGAACCTGGGCTTTGAAAAATGGAATAAAATGACTGAGCTCAGACTTTATTTCTTTGACTTGGCAAAGGACTTGCCATTCACTATTTGCATGTGAAAATAAATGCATGATTCTGGGACAGCCACTGGGGACAGGACAAAAGTCACTGAGAGCTGATCAGGCAGAAGGTTTCCTTCCCTGCCCTGGTCACCCCATAGAGGCCACCCACCCATGTGCCCTGCGTGACAAATGCACAGCATGCATGCTTGGGGCGGGGTGGGGGGGAGCTAGAAAGTAGGCTAGCAATTCCATGGGCTTGCTGGCAAGGTGTCTTGATCAGGAAATGGCAAGCATCCTTCTTATATGACCTTCTGAAAAAATTATTATCCTGGGTGGCTTATACAGCTTGCTGGCTGGCAAAAGCTGGGGGTGAGGTGGGGGGGGCGGGTCACACTAAAGCAGGCTGAAGGGCAAAACCCACGACCCAGGCTTGCCGCCTCTCCACATCTTTCCTTCCAAAATTCCACCACTACAACTGCCAGCGCCATCAACAGATTCGGCTCATGCTCCTCGGATCGTCTCCGTGCCCCACGGCTTTCCACCAGCTGCGTCCCTAGACCAACACTTGCCTTGCCAAACTGGCCAAAATGCAAATCCCACACTCTGCTCTGTCCAAGCTCACGTTGACATCTGTGATGCCAACTTCAGTAGGAGGACACAAGGCATTAACCACTGATATGTTGGCCTGCTTTCGAACGTTCATTGGTTCAATAATTTGCACAGAATGCAGTAGGGTTCTGCACCAGAATCCCCGTGCTGTAGGTTAGACAGTCCTGCATAGAAAACAACTAATTCATGACTTGTTTCGCGCATCTCCATCCTTTGGTAGTACTAGATAAGAACTAGCACTCAGCACGGTAAGATGTTCTTTTAGCCTCCCTACAGGAAATCTTTCGTCTGACCTTGTGGTCAGAGCCACAGGCTGCAGAACCTTCTGCAATTTTTTTTGACAGAAACGTAGATTTTTTTGAGCCTTGCCTGTCTCGAGGGGGCGGGGGGTGGCAAGTTGCTTGCAACTTCTTGTTCGTGACACCTGCAACACCCCAGGCAGAATGGAAGAATAGCCTGACTGTAAAGATGACCATTCACACAACAGCAGCTATGAACAAATGCAACACTCATGTTAAAAAAGTAGAAGATGTATACATACCAACCTTTGTCTAGGTTTGCTACAGGATTCTCTCTCTCACTCTGGGTCTCTGCATTCTTCAGCACTGAGAGGAATCAGACAAATACCAGGTCAAGAATTAAACTGTAGCCCTAAAACTGAAAAGTCAATTTAAACAACAATGAAGACTTACCTTTCTTTTGCTTTGTATTAGGAAAGCCTTCAATTTTTTCCTAGAAACATTAATGAGAAAAAAGATGCTGTTAAAATTAAGTACGATCCATAATTTGTAGTAATGACAATGGAAAATGTAGTACTGTCTTCGTTTACTGTTTAAATAACTTCATAGCCTCTCAAATGCTTTGCTGCTCTGAACATTTTAGTAACTGGAACGGATCATTTTAGAAAAGTCTGGCCTCATCTCCAGCTGAAACAAACTAAATGTCTAACCCGTTGCCTGTGACTTCTTCCATTTCTCCTCTCGGTCCACTTGTTAGTTGCCCTTGTCTTCTACCTCCGTCAAAACTTACAAGATAATCTCTGGGGATGCAAAGACCTGTGTTTTCTTAAAAATACTTATGTTATCCCAAAGTACGATGTATGTGGTTATTGTACAATTATCATTATCCTCATCACTATCATTACAGCATTTAGATGATATACTACCATTCTCTGCAGACAGTACTTTTGCTAACATATTACTGGACTACAAAGCCAACAAGTTCAAACAAATCTTGAGATCTACAGCAAATCCTGGATCAATAAACTTCCAAATATCCTAGCCACATAGGAAGGAATGGGGAAGGAAGAAGCCCAGTCCACTAATCAAGGGGAACAACCAATCAACAAAACAGCCGGTTCTAATTTAAGACAGTCTCCATACCTTGGAAAAAGAGAATCATAAAATTACCTTTTGCCTTGGGAACATGCTGGGTGACCAGCCCTTACTCTGCATGGAAACCGTGCAGAAGTGGCATGTTCAAGAATGACCCTTTATTTTAATCTAACTGGAAAAAGAACAAACACATGTGCCCCAGCTTAAGAAAGGGCTTTGCTTACCTGTGCTTTCTTCAGCTCCTTCTCAAGAACTTTCTTCTCTGCTTTCAACTGCTTGAACTCCTGGATGTGTTTTGCTGCAGCCTCTTCATTTAAGGGAACAGAACAATCAAAATGTGTTTGCCAGTGCTGCAAAGTTACCAAAACACACCACGAACAAGGGCAAATTCACTGGACACTGTGGCACCTTCCTGTTTTGCTTTCTCAAACTCTGGCAGTTCGCTCAAGGGTTGCAGGCACTTAATGCTACACTACCATGTATTTCAGTGGGATTTCATCACGCTGCACGCAGGCAGCCTCGCTCCATCAGAGAGCCACAGTGGAACATCAATTCAATATGTACTGGCTTCACAGCTTTTTTTTTAAATGCAGAAAGCTCCACATGCCTCAGCATCTGGCTTGATGAGCCCTTAGAAACTGGAGCACGATTCCAAAATTAGGTTGCTTCCATATGAAAATATATATTGCCACAGTTCTGTTTCAAGGGAAGCCAGTTTCTCAAACAGTACTTCAAAGTCTACTCCCAAAGTGTAAAGCATTGTCTGTAAAAAGCCATCACCATGAGAATACATAAACCTTCTCAGAATACAATAGTCAGATTAAAATTTTTGCAACAGTTCAATCAGGTCTGGTGTTGGATGATCAATCTCAGAATTTCTAAGACATTTTTCAAACTCCTAAATAAAAGCGACCGTATGCTTGAACGCTCTCTCACATAAAAAAACGCTCCAACATGTGGAAAGCCAGATATTATTCATGTCAGCCTATTAATTATTATTAGATACCGCTAATAACAGAGAGCACTAAACATGAAATCTAGCGTCACTTGCCAGGGTGACCAAGAAACGGAGCCAGGATAACACTATGCAAGCAGAAGCAGGCTTGGCTCCTCAATGGGAAAGGGAAAAAACAGGAAGAGAGGAAGCACCACCTGATGGGGCCTGCCTTCCGTGCTGTGCATTTGCTTAATGGCACTCATTCACTCCTATGGCAGGGGCCGGCAGCGAGGGGCTGCGCTGGGGAACGATGCCGTGGTTGAGGCAGAATGGTCCAGCCAGTGCGTATTTCCCCTGAGAAAGCACTCCCTCACTTGAAGGGATACTATATGGACGTTATCCTGACTCAGAAGCCATGGGAACAACAACCTATCAAGACCAGGGGTGGGGAAGGGAAGGGAAGGGAAGGGAAGGGAAGGGAAGGGAAGGGAAGGGAAGGGAAGGAGGAAGACAGAAAGACAGAAGCATCGCTAGTAAGTGTCACGGCCTGGAGGCTGCATTCAGGTCGGGGGACCAAGGAACACGGCAGGAAAAGCAGACTGGCTCCATTTGAGGCCGTGGTCTTGGTGTTGGATGGAAGGGAGGATGGAGAAAGAAGAGAGGCAGGGGTGCACAGTGGGCAAAGGACCGGAAATTCTCCAGGTACCGGCCTTTCCCACATGGACCGGGTTGTTAGTGAACACTCTTAAAGCCAAAACCCAACATTCTCTTATAGCATAAGAATCGGAATCAGTGGAGACATCGACAGACTTGATACTCCATGGTTGGCACCACCAGGGACAAGTTTATCCAGGAAGTTACTATTAAACATTCTGTTTGAGTCTTGCATTTTGGCTTACAAGTCCCCAACAGAGTTAGAAAAGGAGCAGCTTATACTATGATTTTCCTAAGAGCTCCTTTTCAGTTTCTTCCACAGAAGTAGAGACTTAGGTTCATTCCTATGTGAATTTAGGAGAAATGACCAGGGGAATGACATCTCTACAAAAGTTTCTCAAATTCCCAGTGTAAAAATGTTGGGGAGTTTAGAAGATCTCTTGTGCACATTCCGAGAGGAATCTATTTATTCAGTTCTTAGCCTGCCACATTGGCCATAAAGCTCACAAGGAATTTTCACAAGCAACACTAAGATTAGTCTTCGCTTAGAATGTGTCACTTCTGCTTGTTGTTTCCGTGGTTCAACAGATACTGAAGGGCATCCTGTTAAAAATGGATGGAGATTCTTCTAAAGATAGACTTTGATTTACAGGCTCCAAAATGCAGTAAACAGCTCCTTGGCTTGGGGAAACAAGTCCTGTTTTCCTCTGCATATAACTCACTGACAAAAAGAGACATTTGTGAAAGAAAACTGCATATGACAAGAGCATCATTTTAGGACTGCCGGTATGAAACAAGTAATTCTCACCCTCAGTTTTTGTGGCAAGCTTGTAAATAGCTGTAAAGCCCATGGCCAGTGGAAGTGGCTTATTTTAAGCTGTCTACTGAAACCAACCCACCAACTTGCATGGAAAACATCTTCTAATGTTTTAATTGGGCAGGGATAAAGTGAGGAAATAACAGAGAGCAAGGCAGCTGGAATGTTCAAAAATAGATCAACGCAGACAGTTCATTTCTATCCTGTGTAGGATAGAATTATTCTTATAGCTAAAAAAATAAATATCTTCATCTGGAAAAAATAGTTCTCCATCTGCGTTAGAAACAAACATGTATTTTCATCCACAGTGAGGCGTAAATTACCTTCAAGCTTCTTCACTTTAGTTTCCAGCTTTTTCTTCCTGATCATGTAAAAAAATACAGACCAAACATGAGGTGCACACTTTCTCAGCACTGATATTAGGCTGCATGATAATAAGAATACTGAATTTAAGTTTGGTGTCACCTTAATTGGTTCAGTAGAGGTTTAGTTGAGTTTTTAATCAGAACCTGAATCCACTGCCAATTTTGAGATACTGGCCTGGTTTGGATGATACAACAAAGCACCCTTGTAGATGGATTGCTGCCCAGTTATTTTTATTATTATTTTACAACATATACAACTACAATCACATTAAGGATGTTCACAAAAATAGGAGCAATATAATCAGTTGTTAAGTAGCCTGTTTCTATGCTATTAAAACCGCCTCACCAGAAATGAAGGTGACCAACTAGAAATCCACCTACTCCAGCAAACCTGCAGAAGATACATCAAGAATGGGTACCAGATTCTAACAAAATCATCTCTCGCTATTCCTCATCCAGTCAAATGAAAACAGGTGGTCAGTTTTTCCATCAATGCCTCTGACTACATCCTATCGATACTTTTTTTTTTTAATGAGAGCACTTGGACATCGTTCCAAAACTTGCAATCTTGGCTCTCACAGTTTCCAGAAGTATTGCACATAGTTCTTAACAATTCAGTCTTTCATTCTCCCAGTAAACAATGAAAAAGAAATAAAATATCATCAGGACTATTGTCTGTTGAGTTAGCTTATTCAACCACTGTAATGCAGAAAGGGGTTGATTTTTGGACAGAATAACCACACGTGCTCAAGTGAACCCCTTAAATCACAGTTTCTCCGGTACACGTATGGTAATTAGTTAATTCTACGTAAGTCTGTGCAGCACAGATGGTTTGTTGTGTCATGCGAACCGCGGTCACTGAGGTTGGCTTGTTTTTTCCAAGCACCTCCCCCTGCACTGCCAAGAGGCTGTTCTTGGATTGTTGTCACCCATGGTGGGTTGTTATGTTGTCCAAACCTCGAAGGTTTCAGGTAGGAATTTTTCCAGCCCCACTTGGAGATGTCAGGAACCTTCTGCATGCAAAGGAGGGCTTTGACCCACAGCCCCTAAAACTGATTTACCATGTTGCATTTCAGTAGGGGTTAAGCAGCACTATTGATCCAGCTAATTTACAATAAACAACAGAGTTTATTCCCTCTCTCAGAGTCCCCCTCCCTCCATCCCCCATCTCTGCAACATTTCAACAGAAGGGAATTATTAGCATAAATTCTATCATTACTTCAATTATTAGGGAATGACTCACACAATATCACTTTTGTCCATTTCGTCTTTCACACGAATGTATTCCAGATGTGTCTCCTGGTATATCTTCAGTGAACTCTAATAAATAAATAAATAAATAAATAAAATCAGCAACAGACAGATAATAATTGACTGTCAAGGTATATCTAACCTATTGCTAATTTATTATTTACTAATTTATCTCCTATTTTTGTAAGTCAGACCATAACAGAACTATAAAATAAAACTGTGAATGTTGCAAAACATAGAAATTAAATACAGTGCTGAGAGAGAAAAAGTGTGTGTGTGAGAGAGAGTGAGCGAGCAAGCGAGAGCGAGCAAGAGTAAGATGGAGTGGGGTGGGGTAAACTTTGGAATACTACGTTATAAATGAAATAATACTCTGTTGCAAGCCCCCCAGACAGCTTTGGCTAAGGGCAGTAAAGAGATGAAATTGATAATAAGAATCTCTATTGATATAAAATAGAGGAAGTTACCTTTTTCTCCTCCAACTCTGCTTTCACAGTTCCCAGCTCTTCTTCACACTTTTTGAGAGGTGATAGTTTCTGGAACATTTGTTCCACTTGCTGATGGAGAGTATTATTTTCCCTGGAATAAACATCAAAGACTAGGATGGAAACTGAACAAGGGCTTAAATGTAAACATCTTACAGCACTGGGGAAGCCTTGAACTTTTGTATACTTCTTACGTCACAAGCCAAGTCATGTAACACAAGCAAACCTTAATGCTCTGATAATATAGCATCTCACACTCAGCTTATCTCCCTAGGAACTACTCTTCCCAAGGCTCTGTTGCCTTAGGAAGGAAACAAAGGCACACCAAAGTCAGTTATTAACACCTAGAGACCCATCCAGCAGACTGCCTCAAAGACACCCAAGTCCAGACAGTGAAGAATCCAAATGGAATTAGCTAACTTACCTTTTAGCAAACTGAAGCTGTGATATCTAGTTAAAGAAAACCTGAATCACATTGGTTACCATTATGTCTTGCCATACACATTCGAGAAGTAAAACCCTGACCCTGCTCAGGAGCAGTATCTCTCAGTCTATCAAATTATACAGGCGAGGATGTCCATAAAGAGTACATCCACATTAAGAGCAGAAATAACATGACAAGAAGCCAAGAACTGCTACACAACCTCATGTCCTAACACCATCAAGCCATGCATTTCTATGCCTCTTTTCGCAAAAGTCAGTTACATGAAGTGGGAGCGGAAGTTACTGGCTATGGTTTGCTACACATACAACACGTTTGACGGTATCTTCCCTTCCTGCACATGCCAGTCATGAGCTGTCTAATTAGCGTAACTACCCTCACAGGTGCTGGCGGGCTGGAGTGGGGTGCAAACCAACCCGGAACCCATGGCTAATTCTAGGGTTTCTCCATGGCACTCTGAACCCAGTTGCTACGTTACAACACATGCTTTCTGCACTGGCAGCATCAGAAAAGCATTTGGCAGAAACTTGAGAGCGGGCTTTCTTGTTGGCTGCTTCCAGGCTCTGGAATTCCTGTCTAAGGGAAGCCTAACGAGACCCTTTTCCAACGACCTTCCACCAGTGGGCAGGCATTTCCATTCAGAAAGCTGTTGGCCTGATGGATTGACTTTCAGCTGCTGTAAACAAGGTTTACTGACAACCATTCTTATCTCTTTCTAATGAGCTTTACTTGGCTCACTTTTATGATTTTTATATTTTGTCTTGCACTGTGTATTCCACTGCTGTTGGCCACCATGTGCACCACTTGGAAAAAAAGGCAGGATACACACCTTATAAATAAATCAGCCAATGGTGGTTATGAAGGATGCAAGGGTATTCACACTCCTTTCACATATGTGCAAGCAAGAGCCTGGATTCTCTTTCACCGACATGATTCTGAACCAAAACGCCTCCACTGACAGATCGCTTTTTCCCAGCCTCATGAAGCATTGCAGCACCGGCATTCTAGAACGGCCGGGGAAGCTGTAGGACACACAGGTGGTTTCGTTTACACAGTGGGCCTTTTCCTACAATCGCTCCTGAGCATACGGCACAAAAGCCGTCCCCACTGCCATGGAAACGGGGTGCCTCTTTTCTGCCAAAGTTGCCGCGGCTGCTACTCCCGGCCTGCGCGTTACTGCCTGATGCAACTGTGGGTAATCTGAGCTCTGGCAGATGGCACCCTAAAGATCTCTGTGTATGAACGCCGCTACCTTTTCAACAACAACATCTGTGGCATTTGGCAATCCAACACACACTATTATTGCATAGCTTTTGACGTGCGCCTTCCAAAACAACAACGACAAATACTTTGGATTTCCCACCAGGGCACCTTCCTCACGCGGAGTGCGTATGCCCAACAAAAATTTTCTGGACCAGAAAGGATATCGTTGCACTTTTGTTGGTATTCGGTCAACAGGTGGCTGTAAGAGAGGGAGAGTGGAAAGAGTCAGAGGCAGATCCACACTTCGAGCATAAAGACATGACCCAAGCCTGGCAAAATTTAGGGTCTGCTGAGCAAAAGCGTGTCCACATGTATCAGTGGGCTTAGTACAAACAGAAAACGGTTGGAGTTTTGCAGGGTGTTGGCAGTGCCTGCTAGGCTCTTTCGAATCACAGCGAAGAGCAGCTTCTTCTGCCCTGCGATGCCTCCTCTGCGTTGCGCCACCAGCCACTGCTTTGCACACATTATGCCGCATAAAGGAGCGCTATGCTAGTCTCCTCCTTTCTCAAAGTCCAGCCACTTGCTACACTTTCCACACACAGCTTCGGATAAAATGGAGAGGAGAAGAGTGTGGAAGCTGTTTGGGGTTCCTTGCAGGAGGAAAGGTAGAGCCCTCCAGAGCTAAGGGATAAGGATACATACTAAACAAGCAGGGCTGCTCAGATTTCCAGCTATTAGGTCAGAAAATCATTCCAGCCTCGTGGATGGGGTTGAGAATGGGGTTCCCCTCTCCAAGTTCCCTGGACTGTGCCCTAACAGAACTACTGTAGTTTTATGCCAAAAAACTGGCTGTCCAGGTTGCACGAGGGCCATATCCATAAACTGCAGTTCTACGGAGATGCTTTGATGTCAGTGGGCTTGAATGGGGTTTCAAGAGGCAAAATGTGCCCATCAACGCAAACCTCCAAACAAAGAGAGACAGCAATGTACTTACTCGGTATCAATTATCTTTTGCTTTAACGCAATTAAGGCAGCTACATATTCATTTAAATTCTGCAAAGAAATAAAACCACAATGGTAAATATTAAGGCATTTAGCCCCCTCCCAGCCTTCTGATTTTATTTACTTGAATCCCAAACTGGATACATTTTACTAACATTTAATGTGCTGCAGAGAGCAAAAGAAGCCTGGCACAAGGAAGGGAGGTGAAAAGAAACCTTTGATAGGGACAGGAATAGGAACAGAAACAGGAACAAAGCTGAGCAGAACTTTAGGCTGGAGGTTTTCTGTCATCACAAGGGTACAATCCTGGGTAAGAACTGAGCTGTGTATACTGAAGCCCACATGACTCAGGCATCTAACCAAGTCTGCCGGTAGTTAAATCCAAGCCCCAGAAGCTTTCAATACTACACCAATATTGAACACATTTGACTAATTAATTGACCCAACTACGTTCTGAACAGGAATAACCAACCACGAATGGGTGAATGACCCAGAAAGAGCGTTCCCACCACCCAGGCTCACGTCAAGTGTAATATTTTTCAGTGGCATCAGCTTTAGCTGCCAGTCATCAAGCACGAGGCAAACGTGTATGAAAGAAATCCAGGCCGATCCACCCAGGCAGAAGGTGCTCGGAGGGCCACCAACCCACTCCCAGGGAACACCGGGCACTGGCTTCCTACAAAGAATGCTGGGCTAGGCAGGCCTCGGCTTGGCCTGGTACAGCAAAGCTCGCATTTTCAAGTGCAAGCACAAACCCCGCGTCTTTTGGAACAGATGAGGGATGCATTCGCTCCGACACCTGCGCACGCCTGCTTTGTAAGCGTAACTCATAACCATTCATATCTCCTCGCCTAGTTTTGGCTTCTCTCTCTCTACCTTCAATGGGAGGTTACACCATATTTTTCTTAAATGGGTACAGGCCCCATTTTCAGTGAGCTGCCTGGAGAAACAGTAAACTTTATAGAGAAGACTTGGATCCGGAAGCTTCAGCATGTCCAGGATCCTACCAGGCTCCTGCCAGCACAATAGAATATCAGCCACAAAGGGGATTTTCAGTGCAGTGTGCTGCGCTCACAAGGTCCCTCTAGATGGGTCTCTGAGCATGTCAAGTGAAGGCAAGTTGCCAGACGCTTGAAATGCAGCCGGATTCCTTGTCCCCCGGGCTCTCCTCAGCCCACCTGCCAGAATGCCTCCTCTTGCCTCCCTCCAAGGCCGAACGGATGGCCTTGGGAAGCCACTGCCACAACATTTCCACAGCAGCTGTGCAGGGACAGGGGAGGGGGCTGGAGCTCCGACTCCCCTCACGAGTCATAACACTGTCTGCGGCCGCAGGGGCAAGACCGAACTGTCTGGTATTGCTTGGGATGCTCTCCCAGGCGTCACAAGATTGCTCTCCTACTCCGCAGTTGTATACACACTAACCTGAAAGCTTAACTCAACAGAACGTACTTTGGAGTGGCAATACACAGAATTGCACTAGAATTCACAAGATTGTGCACAGAGTTGGCACATACGATGGCTATTCCAATGCAGACACAAACACGAGGAAATGCTACAAAAACTTGATTATTGCAATACACTTCAATTTTTTTCTGATTAATTTTGTAGTTCCCTGAACAGTTAATGATTTCCCCAGATACCTGCAGGGAGCACAATGGTCCGTGCAGGTCACCAAGCCATGCAACTATCTACCAGGTATGCCTCTCATCCTTTTACAAGGAGGTGTAACATAAGTGGGGTATCCAGACACCAAAGAAGGAAGGCTCTTGCACCTTCCCCAGATAGGTAGAAGAGGCAACTTCAGTTGCTCTAGCTGGTTATAGCTGGTTCCATTTGGATGCCAGGAAGCACTTCCTGACAGTTAGAACCCTGAGGGTGTGGAATGGGCTTCCACAAGAAGTTGCTGAGGCCCCATTGGTGCGGGTGTTCAAGGACAGGCTGGACGTGCACATGGTGGGCATGTCGTGAGCGGAGCCGGCTGGTGCCGGAGGTCAGACTAGATGGCCCGGGAGGTCCCTTCTGATTCGCTCTGTTTCTATGTTTCTATGTTATGCAAGTTATTCCTCCTAAACTGTGCTTTTCTAACACAACTACTAAGGATCCAGAAACCTTGGGGTGGGCAATCATAAAAATGGCATGCAAGGGTCTCCAATCCAGTGGGACTGCCATTTCGGATTTGGTGCTGATGAACAGCTGACCCCTCCCCACCATTTAGTGGAAGTTCCCAAAGCTATCACAGGTGATGAGCAGCTCAGAGAATTTCCTTTGGAGGACTAACGCAACATTGTAAGAGTCCTCGGGAAGAAGCAAGGTCTTCGGGAAGTCAGAGAAAAATGGCAGCAAGCAATCACTGGTGACATCACACACATGCACACATGCAAACACAAACATGTTGTGGTCTTTTATGAACCAGAACCACAGGATGAAGTGGAGAGAAATGGTGAGTTGTTCCACAGACCCGTAAACTGGGGGTGGCAACGTCTCAGCTCTTTTCCCCGTGCTGCTAAAAATGTGAAGGCCTGAGGAAAAAGGCTCAGAAAAATGGAAAAGAAACTGGGGGGAAATTATTTTTCCCAGCAACCTTTGGACAATTCGGATTGCTTCTGCAATTTTTTGCCATCTGTTTTGGCAATTCAAGCCTTCACATCCCTATTTGCTACACACGCAGCTTCTTTCACTCATTCTCCTGCAACAGCAAACAATGATATGCCAGTTAAGATCTTTAAAGTCACGACAAACAGCAACGAGAACCAATACTCGCATTTAATGTCTCTGAATGAGCACGTTCTGGATGAATCCATGCTCCCCACAGAACTTAACTTCGTCCTGTTCCCAAGTCCATCAATTGCCTATCCATACATTTGATAGTCTGCCTTACACTCCAGATGCTGTTTTATTTTCCCTGTAGCTACAAATGTGACCTCTGTTCCAACAACTAGAAGTGAAAGTAACCCAACTGCAGATAATGTGAACAAAAAAAAAACTGTATGAAGGACAGAGGAGTGAAAGCAAAACAAGACAAGACAAAACAAAACAAAACAAAACCTCAGTTTGGGGTTATTCACTTAAAACTTTGCAGGAAGCCATCAGGAAAGAGCATTTCGTATCGGACAAACCAGTCCGGAGTTGTGAAAGAAACATTTTTTATGCATGGGCTGGGGATCTACAATTTATACAACACACTGGCTAGAAATGCTTGGCAGGACAGCAGCAGGATTATGCCATGAAAGAAGGGACAAGGTGAGCAAAGGAAGTCAGAGAGAGAAGGCTGGAACAGCAGAAGGTACAGCAGCTTACAAGTTTATTCTCATAGTCCCCAAAATAAAAGTGGAGATCCAGAAAAAGACATCATCCTACTTCCTCACACTAAGGCCTGAAATGGATACACTGGGCATTTATCAGGAAATGTAAACACTATTCGTAAATATTTCTCTTGCACAATGAGTGGAAAAACAAACCAAACGAAGCAAAGCAAAGCAACCAGTTTATGAAAGTAATATTGCTGCAGCGGGTCGCAAACTCCAAAGGGAGCAAGGTTAGGGACAAGCAGATTGTGACAGCATTTCAATAGGTCCCTAAGCACGCAGTATGCCAGAGCGTTGCAGAATACAGGTACTTGGTATAGGAAACATGCAGCTGAGGCATCTGCCGAGCATACTGATCCTGAAACCAGGTCTTTTGTTCTATGGGCAGGGATGAAAGGTTCTTTATTTATTGGATTTCCAGCCTGCTGCATTGGCCACCCAGCCCCCTTCTGTGTGCACAGCCTCCCAACATCTTTTGCTGTTCACTTGCTTCAGACTCTTCAATCTTTTGCATATAAACTAATTAATGTTTGAGCACATGAATCAAGGAAAAAATTAACACATACAATATTTCCAAGACTTCTTTTAGTTCAGGCAAAGAGTCCATTTTATGAAACAAGTGGAGTTTAAAGTGCCGAATCCAAAGTGCTGGCTCTTTCAAACACTAACAAATATGATTAGCAAATCAGACTTGAATTATTCAAGGATATTTTATTTACTAGGATGGGGTAGGTTTACAGTTTAATGAATGGGGGGTTCTCTATGGTTAATTTTGCCTGGCACAGTATTTACAGCCCATTCAGCGCATGCTAATGCAGAAACAAAACCCACTGGGCTGAGAGTAGCTCCTTCCCAGGTACGTGTGCGCAGGACTGCAGCCTTACCGTGTGTGAGATGTCATGCTACTGACTGCATTCAAAACAAGCTTTGCACTGCTATTTTAACTGCAGTGCCCATAATCATTTTAACCCTCTTACTGTAGTGCCAGATTTTTCACCTTGCCCAGTTTTCTAGAAACTGTTCCAGTTGCTGCAGCCTGAGGATGCAGACGAGATGACTGCATCAGTTCAAGCAACCACGTATCCTCCTCTGCCCATCATGGCTGATTTGAAGCAGCAGACACAGAGTAACGTGATGGCTCCAGGAAGCGACGATCATATCTTGAGTGAAGGATCCCTCTTGCCCTTAAAGCGGGAGTAGTCTGATCACTTCTGGAAAAGCCTTCACCAGTTCCAGAAATAATAACTATAGTAACTATCCCCTGGGCGCTAGCTAATACCCCCTTTTTGAGCAAGGTGCTCGAGAAGGTGGTGCAAAACCAGTTGCAGACAGACATTCCTGGAGGGACAGGAATAAGGGACAGAATCAACCTTGACCGCTTAGCTGGATTACCTTTATCAATTTATCAGGAGAGGGAGAGAAAGGGAGTGTGACCCTATTACTCTTACTTGATGGCTCACCAGCTTTAGATAGCATTATATCAACAGCCTTGCCCTGTATAGACCTGGAAGACCACTAAATGTTCAGGGGAGAACTTTCTGTCTGGGTTGCATTGTGAGGAGTCACATCCAGCAGCAAGATGGCAAAGAGCCTTCTCTGCTTTTTGAAATGCATTTTTTGGTTATACGTCATGAACCACTCCAGGGTTTTTGAGATGGGAAATGGGATATAATAGATGAGGTGTGTGGTACAACACCTCTGCTATTCCTAATTTACTTCCTAGGAATATCTGTTTGAACTCGCTCTCAAATACAACTTCCTTCACCTTCTGTGCAATGACACCGAGACGGGCATATGGATGATGTTCACACAATCACAGAGGGAAATAAGCCACGTGGTAAAGCTGGGTGGCTGGGATGGCTTACAAACCATCCTGAAACTCAAGGCGAGTCCTGGGATGCTGGGATCCAACATACTCAACCCAAACGCAGAAAGGGTGATTATGCTAATTAGACAGCTTGTGACCAGTTTACACGGGTTTCTGACCAGATCACGCAATCTCACCCATTAAGACGTTTCACTCACAGAAGTGCTGACCATTTTTTCATAGAATCATAGAATTGTAGAGTCGGAAGGGGCCATGAAGGCCATCAGGTCCACCCCCTGCTGTTGCAGGACACCACGTTGCACCATCCCACTCAGAGGGCTGTCCAGTTTCTTTTTGAATGCCCCTAGTGCAGGAGACCCCACCACCTCTCCAGGCAGCTGGTTCCACTGTCCTATTGCTCTGACAGTGAGGAAGCTTTTCCTGATGTCCAGCCTGAATCTGGGTTGCTGCAACCTGAACTGATTATTCTGTGATCTACACTCTGGCAACAGCAAGAAGAGATCTTTTATGTTTAGTTTTTATTTTATTCCTCCTTCTCAGCCAGCAAAATCAGGATGCTAAGGATGCAACTGAGTGGGAATTTTTCTGAGTAGAGATGCAGAAACTTGCACTGCTAGCCTATGCATCCTTGACCTTTTACAGGAAGGTCAAGCAACATGACATTTGGCCTACAACTCCCTCTGGCTATGTTGGCTGGGGCTGATGAGAGTTGGTCAAAACATGTGGAAGGTCCTAAGTGCTTATTTTTTTAAGGCTATCTTTATTTTCAGGGAAGGAATATCAGCAAACATAAAGGGTATATTAAAAAACTATCAAATTACAAAATGATGCTTAGTCGCATTTTACCTTGATTGTTTGTATTTATTGTTTATTTATGTTATATTGTAAGCCATCCTGAAACAAATGGTTTGAATAGGATGGGATAAAAATATTCTAAATAAATAAATAAGATATATTTGCCATAATAAGGTAACGCAACAATGGAGAACACCATCCCAGATCCTCTTGGGTGTAAGGCCCAACCATAAATACATACTTAGTCAACAAAAATTTCAGATCCAACCCATGCCTAGATATATAGCTTTGTACAAAAACAATACTGCAGAATCTAGGGCAGACCATATGTACATGACAATGCCAAAATAGACACTGTAAGACCATATAATAAACCTGTCCTTTTGTTCACAACAATGCTGATGGTTTCTATTTTGGGCTTTTACTGTATTCCTACATTCCCAACTGATAAAACCCTAACTTTACACATATTTATTCACATATTTACTTGGAACTAAATCCCCTGACCTAGGAAAGGCCATACTGAAATCCTCAGTTTAGCTCTGGAAACATGATCAAACCATTCAGGCAGAAATCCTAAGCACATCTAATTGGGAATAGGTCTAATTGAAGTCTCTGGGGCTTAGTGCTAAGTAGACATTCATAGGATTGGGTCCAAAGAAACCTGGCAAACTAAGCTGTCCAGTCAGGACCATTTTTTCATTGCTAATTTAATTGCATTCATACATATATTCTAACAAAACAAATATTAAACTTGGAAATTTCATGATTCTATCACACAGCATAATTTTATACACGAAAACAATCAAGAGCCTTGAAGCACCTTTAACAAATTATTGAATATAGATTTCACTTCGTCAGTATTATTCGAAGTACTGTTCTGTTTCAAGTCTATATACCATACTCATGGTGGCAAAAGGGCATTTAATTGTAAATCTGACAATCATATTACTTGCATTTTTATCTTGCTGTGTGTGTTTACTGCCTTTAAAGCCAGGCAGTTTGTGTAGAAAGCAGCTACAATGCAAGCAACCTCTATTAAGAAGGTGATTGTCACTTAGAATCATGGAACAGTGAAGCTGCAAGGGGTCCGTAAGGCCATTTGATCCAGGCCTCTGCTCAGTGCAGGACTCCAAATCCAAGCATCCCCAACAGAGGCTGCTCATCTGCCCTTTGAAGGCCTCCAGTGTGGAAGAGCCCAAGATCTCCCTAGGTCACTGGTCCCATTGTTGCATTGCTCATATAAACAGGATTTTTTTTCTCTGGCTCTTCAATCAGAATGTGGCCTCCTGTAACTTGAGCCTGTTATGATTATTATTCAATTTATTTTCCTTAGCCAAAACTCCTTGAGCAGTTTGCAACAATCAATAAAGTGACAATAAAAATCTTATAAAATTAAAGAACTGACAACAACTACAACATACAGCCAGAAATGACCTTGTAAAAAACCGCCAGGCATTCCCTCAAGCCCCTGGAGAGCCCAGTTTTAAAGGCTTCCACATAAAGGGCCATCCCTTTATTCCACCTGTGGTGGTCTGGGATGTTCAAGAGCAGACCATGGACCTCTCTTTGGGACTAAATTTCTTTCGGACTCCCTGTTTCCAGTTCTCACCCTGCCCACTGCCTGTACATACAAAACACTCCACAATACAACTTCTATCTCATAAAGGGGGCTGTAACCGATGCAAACTGAGACCCAGAGTGCTGTAGTGGTTAAGAGCACAGCACTGGGGCTTGGGATCTGGGTTCAAGTCCCCGCTTGGCCACGGAGCCAACTGGGTGACTTTGGGCCAATCACGGCCAACCTCACAGGGTTGTTGTGGCGCGGATGAGATTGAGAGCAGCAGATGTAAGCTGCTTTGAGTTTGGTATATGACAAAATAAACGAACCTACAGCTGGGGTGGGGGGTTATCCCACGCCTGCTTGGCCAGGAAAAGAAGCCTCGCAACTCCCATCATCCCCGAGGCCGGGGGGGAATGGCAGGAGCTGCAGGCCTCGTTCCTCCCAGGGAGGCCCGGGGGTTGGCTCTGCAAGGGCGCTTCGCCCCTCCGAGGAGGCGCCCCGCGGGCCGGGCTGAGCGCGGGGCGGAGGGCGCTCCTGACATGCCCCGAGGCGCGCCGCGGAGCCGAAGACGTCCCGGGGCCGAGGCGCGCCCGCGGCTGCCGTACCTGCTGCAGGGCCCCGCAGTTGGCGCAGGCCGTGGCCGCCTCCGCCGCGATCCCCGCGGGGGTGGCCGCCGGCGGGGTCTCCCCGGGCATCATGGCGCGCGCCGCGGCCGCGCGCGCCCATCCGGCCCCGGCGCGCAGCTCC